TTTTTTGAGAGGGAGTCTCATTCTGTAGCCCAGGCTGGAGTATAGTGGCATGATCTCAGTTCACTGCAACCTCCGCCTCCCGGATTCAAGTGATTCTCTTGCCTCAGGCTTCCAAGTAGCTGGAATTACAGGTACACACCATCATACCTGGCTCATGTTTTGTACTTTTAGTAGAGACGGAGGTCTCACCATCTTGGCCAGGCTGCTCTCGAGGTCCTGACCTCAGGTGATCCTCCCACCTTGGCCTCCCAAAGAGCTAGGATTACAGGCGTGACCCACCGCGCCTGGCCTGTTTTCTCATGTTTTCTAAAATGAGATTTTACCACTCCTAAAATTGACTATATTAATCTATTAAGAGCAAATGTCGATGAATGACAATAGATAAGCAAAAGAAGAGGGAAGCCCTAGCAGGGCTGTCCAGGCAGAGGATGAAGGCTGGAGCAGCCTTGGCACATCACAGGGTTACAGCCTATCATGAGAATGGCTCGGTCCCAGCATCACGAGGGAAGGAATAGAGCCCTAACCCTTGAGGGCTAGAAGAGGATGGGATTGAGAGCCCAGCTGAAGGTATCTCTCTATGAAAGGAATAGGGATGGCCCTCCCAGAGAGAGATAAGACCGATGGGTGAAGATACTCTGCCTAGAGGTACAGAGTGAGGAAGCTAAAGAAATGTGCACCTGCACCAGGAGACAGAAAAGGGGCAGAGTAGACACTTCTGTGGTGCCACTGTTATAAATGAAAAATTGAACCAGGAGAGGGGATGAGTTTAAAATTAGGGGCCAGGATATGACATGATGGAAGTGGCCACACCTTGGGCTGGCAAGGTTGGCGAACAGATGCAGTATTGGAAGCAGCATCCGGTTCTAGTCCTAACAGGCCACTCACCAACTGTGCAAATGTGAGCAGGACAGGCCTCCTGTCTGCAGCCTTTTCAGAGCCAGAGCCAGTAGCTCTCATGCCACGTCTTGCCCTTGTTCTGACTGACTTTTTACTCACTTCTTGCCCTTGTTTGAATTTGTCCGGTCATCCCTTGAACAACTATAACTGAATGAATCAGGATCCCACCCCTCCTCCCCCCACCCCGGCCCCATCCTCGAAGTGCTCACGTGACAGCTGCCTCTTGAAGGCAGTATGGAGGTAATAAGAGATGCTGCATTCCACAATTCCGCAAATGAGTGACAATCCATGTGTGTTGCTGAATTCTGTCCAAAGAAGAGTTGACATGCCCCATGTCTCCTCCAGAAGACAGGGCAGAATCTTATCATTCCAGGTCATTCTCCCAGGAGGTTCATCCTCTATCCCCTTTCAGGAAGTGAGTTTCATAATTTCATCTGCAAATTTATTTATTTATTGAGTCAAAGAAATAGCTTGCTTCATATTTTAGGTAAACTGCTTATTCTTAATTTACCTGAATTTTCAAAACAGCCTGTAACTGAAAACTCCACTGTAGCCTGGTAGGAACAGGACTTCCTGAGCATTTTGCCAGGAGCACTTGGCCTCCGACAGACCGGGAATTCTATAGTGCCCTTCATTACTAGGTTTCAGTATTTCCATTTCAAGCCCTGGTAAATACAGGGCTATGAAGAAAAAAAATTAATGGGAATATTTTCAAACCTTTGGAAAACTTAGGATTTGGTATTTGGCAGGAGGGCTAAGAGGGTGGTTAAAGAAAAAAAGTGCAAATGCTCAAAACGTTCTTTAAGGTTGCGTTTGAGTCCAATTTATTCTGTTCTTTTTTCACACTGGAGCTAGCAAGGTTGCATTTTTTTTTTCCTCGCTAACAACTCTCTCCTTATTCTATGGAATGTTTAATTTGCCCTTTGAAAGAAAGTATGATTTGTTCCATTTTTCCATGTGCAATTTCTATGCTATTTACAGACTAAGATAAGAATCAAGAAGGATTCATGTGCCAAAAGCACACATTCAAGCCTGGGAGAGGAAATCAGAGTCCTAAGCCCCAACTTGGAATGACTTACTAGATGATTGTAGTGACAGAGCCATCTCC